GTCCTGGGTGCAGTCGCCTCGGAGGCTGCGGGCGTCGTACTCCACGCCGTCGCTCATCTTGCTGAGGTCGAGCGAGAGGGCGCAAGGCTTTGTCAAGCCAGCCCAGCACTGCTCGGTGAAGCACCAGCCGCGGTCAACGTACTTGGCCACGTTGGTGCCCTCGGGCTGGTCCTCCGCCTTGTGGCCGTCCGGGAAGGAGGTCAGCCGCAGCACGAACAAGTGCTGGTGGGAGTAGAGCGTGCCGAGGCAGCTCAGCCCCTGCTTGAAGAGCGCGTTCTGCTCCTCGGTGCGCAGGACGCCGTTGGGGGGGTCGGGGTGCTGGTGCAGCGAGCCGAAGTCCCAAAACACGCCGAGCCGCGTGATTCTGCCGTCATTGTTAGTGAGCAGGGCCTTGAGCGCCCTCGCGACGCGGGAGAGGTTGGCTCCGCGCGGGTCGGGGTGGTCCTTGGTCAGCCACGGGTAGGAGAGCGCGGCGACGGGAAGCCCACCAGCACCCGTGGTCGCCTCGACGAGGTCGGCGAAAGAGAGGAAGGCCTCTTCGGGCAGCGCCTGGCGGTGGGTGAGGACGCCGCCCGCCTCGGCGTGGCGGATGATCCACTGCGCGTCGAGGAGGGCGACGGCGCCGCTCGCGAGGACCGGTTCCAGGTCGCCGCCGCCGCGCTTGCGCCACTGCTTCAGCTTCTCCTCGTAAAACAGGCCCGGCTTGCTCGTGCCGCAGCCCATCGCTTTCGCCTGCCTGTGTAAGGCCGATCGACTTTGAGCACTTGCTGTGTTTTGTGTCCGAATCTGTCCGAAATCTGAATGTAAGGCGATCGACTTTACAAAAAAAGAATTGTGCCACGTGCACACTGGCACCTACCTACGACAAGGGCGCGGACTGGCGCGGACTGGCACACACACCGGCTCAAAAAAAGAAAGAGGAAGAACCGAAAGATCCAGCGAGTGGGACGGCCGCGAGGTGGCATGAAGGTTGCAAACCCCGCATCACTCTCTAGCTCCGAGTAGAGGGGGCGTCTGCAGTTAAGGGGAAACCTGGTACACGGGCCAACCCTCGGAGAGTATTCTTTACACTTTAGCTCCGAGTAGAGGGGGCGTTCCGCAGCTAGGGGAAACCCGGAGCGCAGAACCAACCCTCGGAGACCCGTGTTATGGCCCTGCGACCGCGCACCCCCCCTAGGGGTCAGGGCTCTCTAGCCCGTAGCCCGATCCCGATCATCCGGCCCGCTGGGTGCGCTTCTTAGCTCCCCGGCCCTAGATGTGAGGCTGATAACTGCACTCCAAGTGCTCCAAGTCCCTCCCTCGCCCGGGGGGGGGGGCAACGAGGGAAACGACCACACCGGCCGTCGTATGACGCTCGGCAAGCGAGCAAGAGAGCGAATCGGGGAGAACCGGGGCCCCGGGAGGTCGGAAGGTGGAGCTCCGGGACCGGGGACTAAGCACGTGTCTGTGTTTGGGCGTGGTGTACAGTGTAATGTCCACTAGCTCCGAGTAGAGGGGGCGTCCTGCAGTTAAGGGGAAACCCGGTACGCGGGTCCAACCCTCGGAGAACCGTGTTTACTTTACGGCCGTTTCCCCGCGAACGCGCACCCCCCAGGGCTAGGGCTCTCTAGCCCGTAACCCGATCCCGATCATCCGGCCCGCTGGGTGCGCTTCTCAGCTCCCCGGCCCTGGATGTGAGGCTAATGACTGCACTCCAAGTGCTCCAAGCTAGCTGTGCTTCTTTGCCCCCGGCCCTGGATGTGAGGCTGATAATTGCACTCCAAGCGCTCCAAGCCGCAAGCGCTTTCACACACCCCCTTTCTTGCATCTCTTGGAGCGGGGCCGCTCTCCACACACCACAGCTCGATTCGTATAGCACGTCCACGTGTGTAGGGCGCTTTTCACGCGATTTTACGGAATTACGGATTGGAGGGGGGTGGCGGCACATAGGGGGAGGGGGAGACGCGCATCTACGAATCAAGTTGGTGCCGGAGAGCCGACGAGCCGCGAGAGCGAGCGGCTGAGCGGGGCCGCCGCGGGCGGCGGCCGGGGGGGCGCAATCCGCAGAGCGGCACGTCCAAGAGTTTGACTGTATCTGAGAGACTGAGAGAGAGAGACCCCGCTGGCGCTGCTGCGGTGGTCTCTGGCCGGTGCTACCTCCCGCCGCGCTGCTGCTGCCGCGCCTTGTCGATCTGCTTGAAGACGCCGTGCCGCTGGCTCGGCCCCGCCGGCGCGCTCCTGCGGCTCGTCTCCGCATAAGTGAGGCCGTCGCCGCCCGAGAGCTCGCTCATCGACGCGCGCTTCCGCGACACGCCGCCTCCTCCGTACACCGCCGCGCCGCCAGAGTCCTTTTCCACCTCGGCCGCCTCGCGGGCGTCCTCGGCTTGCGCCTCGGCCGAAGTTGCGTCGGTAAGCACCTCGCGGAGCAGGTCGAGCTGGTCGCGCTGCGTCGAGTAGAGCAGCTCGTCCTGCCCGTCGGGGACCAGGTTGGTGATCACCTTGAAGGCGTAGCCCTGGTCGACGAGGAACTGCTGCCGCTTGGTCGAGTAGAACATCTCCTGATTATTAATTATTAGTAATTATGATTATGATTATTAATTATCATTAATTATGCCGCTTGGTCGAGTAGAACATCTCCTGCGTGTCGCGCGAGATGAGCGTGTAGAAGAAGGCGTTGAACGAGTCACCGACGCGCGCCTGCGGGGAGGGCTCCGAGAAGCGTCCCGGCGAGGCTCGAGGGAAAGAGAGAGACAACGAGACAACGAGAGGGGGGGGGGGGGGGTCAGTGGAGTCCCCGGCAAACCGCGCCTTTGGACGCAGGATCCGGCCAAGCCGCTGCGCCTCTTGCCGCCGCGCTCCAAAGTGGGAGGCGACTTGGATGATGACGTTGGCCTCGGGCAGGTCGATGGAGGTGTCGCCCACCTTGGAGATGAAGAGCGTGTTCCACTCGCTCGTCGACTTGAACTTCTCGAGCAGCATCATCCGCTCGTGCTGCGGGGTCGGGCCGTAAATGTACGGCCGCTTGAGCTTGATGGCGTACTTCTTGAGGGCGAAGACGTTGTCCGAGAAGACAATCACCTTGTCGCCGCGCGCCTCGTGGAAGCGGACGAGGTACTCGCACGCACGGAACTTGCTCGGGTTCATCGCGTAGAGCTGCCTCCCGACGGCGACCGGCTGGCGGAGGTACTCAGCAAAGAACTCTGCGGTCATGGGGCACCAGACCTCGGCGCACGAGACGGTGGCGATGAAGCCCTTCGCCTGCAGGTCCAGCCAGTTGGCCTCGTACAGCTTCGGGCCGATCAGAAAGTTGAGGTCGCCGATCTTGTCGTCCTCGCGCACG